TTAGAAGGCAAGAAACAACAAAAAGAACCGGCCCGCCACCATCTTCGCTCTACGCAATTGAGATTTTTCCAAACCTGTCAGGAAGGCTTTCAACTTCGCGAACATCCGCATCGCTTTCAGATCAAAGAACAAACCAAGTTCGCTGCTGACGAAAGGGTGATAGGTCAGGTTCCGCTAGAAGAGGTAGAGGACATTAGTTGTTCGAGCTGTAACTCTCGATATTTTGGTCATGCATTATGATTCCTAGGAGCGGGAGTTCATAAAAATGAACATGCAATCTGTGACGGGTCAAAAAGTTCTAAGAAAACCAGAAGTATCATCTGGCCCAACGCACGAATCTGATACAGACCGTTGCATTCATATCGTTGATGTAAGCTTCATCACATCGGGAGACCTTCTTAGACGGGTCGTGTCGGAAACTGCCAGTTCAAATGGGGAATAATACTATCAACAGAAACTGTGATCTGGAAATGTCCTAGACATGAATGCATTTCTTTCATTGATTTGAAAGGTGAAAGAAACTAATGCATAATCGAGCGACGGCACGTATAGCCGTACCGCCTTTGTCATTGACAGACCTCAAATAAAAACGACGTGAACACGGGATGACCACTCAAGAAACATTGGATTGGTCTACATTGCCCAACCCTTTTTGCACCTGCGCGCTATTGCGACAACTGTGAGTGAACTGGCCTGACGGGTGCATTCGAAATTGAACCCTGTGCGACGTTTTGTACTGTTTTATTTTGAAAAACGAATTCTCTTCTTGATGTTTTCTACAGCGACAAGTTTCTGTGAATTTACATGATTATCTCTCTTATAACTTCAAAACTCCTATAACGATCAGGGCCTTTTTCATCACGAATGATTGTTATGTCATCCGCTGGCTTCATAATCGCTGTCGATTTGCTTTTTCGTCAATCGCTTTTATTCACGCACCCTTCATTGCCGTGCGGCAGTTTTATTCATCTTGCTCAGTCGTCAAGTAAAGCGCGGCGGATTGGCTCGGCATGGTAGTTCTCAGATCCTATCCATTAAACTTCTTTAATTCATTGACTACTTTAGGCTAGTTGTCGCTTATCACTCGGCGCAGTTTTATGTGCCTTGGAATTGCCAGTAATAGCAATGGCCATTCTTATGCTGAGGCTGTTCCGGATATCTTTTATGTTCATTATCCCTTAGAAGCCTGCCGAATGTTCATGAAAATACCAGTCCTTTAATTTTTTCATAGCACCGTGACCTATAAGTTCGATTGAGGAGGTGCTCTTGCGTGGTCGTCTATTGCCAGTTACCATCCTAACTTCAATATCCTTTGTTTCTTGAGCTATTTACGACTGTTTTCATCATTGTCATGGATCATATCTATTGCAGTCATTGGTCGTTTTGCTTATCGGCTTATCCGTTTATCGTTTTGTTCCAATTTTACTTTTTATTATTTGTAGTGTAATTTGCACAAGTGTTTATCTGTGCTTCAGTCAGTCAGTTCGCTGACCATTTGTCCTTTCAGCTCATGGAGGCAGACGCGTCAGACAGCGTTTCTTCAACGTCCCCAAGCTGGTACTAGCGCTTGAGCATCGGCAGAAGATAACCCAACTCTGGTCAGAGACGTTTGGTACCCTTAAACCAGATTATTCTCGCCTGTCCCCGGAGTCTTTGACCGGTCAGTTAGAAAGGTATTAGCTTTCTGAATGCATTCGCAATACGTGCCCGAATCAGTCTGGAGAAGTAGCAGCTGTACAGCTAGGCCTTCTGAGACATCTGTACCCCAGACCATGTCGAGACGCGTGAGCCCAGCGATTCGTTGTTTCTGGAGACCCATTTTAGCCTCTTGTACCCTGGATCAAAGTTTCTCAGTCCCGACCCACGACTCATTACAATAAGAGAGTATCGGGATGGCTTACTTTTTACAAAGAGAGCTTAGCTTTCAGACTCAACTGCTTTCGTCACAACGGTTCGGACTAGTTTGTGCAGAACGTCACTGGCTGTTCCAGTCCAATGGTCAATTTCTTTCATTTTCATTTTTCATTATCAGTAAATGCGACCCCGTGGTACGTGAACTTCACTTATTGTACTGCCTTTCCGCTTATCTGCAGAGAGCAGCAGCGGGCACGAGAACGAGAAAGCACAAGGCTTTTCGTTTTTGATAGTCCACACGCATGCTGGCCACTACGCCCTCGGCTGCGAACCTTTCTCGAGAGCTCTGTAGATCAGTTTCAGACGATGGCTACCAAACAAGGTCATTTTTTGCAAACAATATTCTTATTATTTCCGCATCTTACTATACTATCCATACACAACACTGACTGTAGAAAGGACAAAGCGCAGCCTTGTGGGAGACTGGCGCCAACGCTGAAAGGTTTGGACTTTGGATGCCATTTACTCTGACGCAGCACTTGCTATCACCATATGGTGATTGGATGGCCCGTAGCAACTGACCATCGATTTCATATGTTTCCAGGGATGTTATGCGGTATCCATTCATGTGTTTTCTCCAGGTCCACACAGCACATGTAGGAGATTCACACGATTTTTCATCAGTATGGCGTAAGGCAGTAATCTGGTAGGTGGTTCGTGCTTAAGCCTTACCTGAACCCGCATTGCACTCGCTGTATTTTAAAGTCATTTATTCCGCATCACCTTCTTTTTACCACTTTTGTGTGGAGTTTTCCCGAGACTTTCAGTAAAGAATGCCCCGATAACTGAAGCACTCCCTGGCGTTTCCCTTCTTGAACCAGATTGCTAGAACCTCATTTCTCTACTCCACTAGTGTCTTCTCCATAACCATTGCAGTTTCACACACACGCCACACATATTTTAGCCACAGTATGCCTTGTTTATCTATATCTTTAAGCATTTCAGGGTGGATTTCATCGATTCTAACACCCTTACCTGGGCTTCTTTCTCTTCAGAAGTGGATTTCTCTTGTGATATTGTTGAAGTAGTGGATGTTTCCAACCTAAGCGTTTACTGAATTCCAATTCTTCTGAGTTTGAAAATTTTTAGAACGAGCTGGTCAAAATTCCATGATATAAGTGGTTTGTTTATATTTTCTCTGTTGTTGCAACGCGCTGTGACATTCGTATGAGTGCCAGAATTTTTAAGATTATTTTTCTAATTATAGCTTTGAGCCGGTTAAATATGTAAAGCCGTGGTTGTTATGCTTGCTGCTTTCTTGGCTCTTCTGTACTTTGCTGAGCAGAGTGCTTGCTGTATTGCCTTCCTACTGTCTTTTCCTTTACTTTTGAGCCACCAGTAATGCATTTTTGCGGCGATAGTAAAGTACAGTATGAACGCGTTTGCTGTAGGATAGCGTTTGTAGCGTCGTAGAATGAACAAGTATTATTAAAACGTAAACTCTTCACTGTGTGGTTTATCCACGTTGCTTACCGGCCTCCTGATTGATGTCAGTTATGAAGAGCTGGTTGGCTACGGTGAATTACTTATGTTTAACCAGTTTTTCACGTAGGGCTGATCTCTTTTTCCTAATCTTGGACTTAACGGCTTTATTGGCAATAACTGAAATGAGAAAAACGTTTTTTGATTTCATCGATTACAAAATTCATGTTTCACTGAAACTTGCATCAATATGCTTCGTTAAAGCCCTTATATGACTGAGACTATTTTTTTACTGCTAAGCTTCGTTGGGTGCGCTATTTTCTTCTCTTAAGGGTGGCGTTTTTTGAAAATGTAGTTTTTCCTTGCAAAAATTTGCTTGATTCTGTGTTCTTTTTCAGTGACATTGCTAATGGCGAAATATTCATCTCATCAGCATCATTTATGCGGTAGAATATGAGGAGTACCAGCTTTTGACGCATCGTTCGTGATGAGCGCGAAGGCGGGGTGCATCCGGCGTTGTAGATGCTATAATATCGTGGAGAAGTGTCCTGTTTAGATTACCCCTTTCTCTCTGGACAACTAGGAACAAGGGAACTGTGCAGTTTGCCTTGAAATCTAGTCTTGGAGAAATCATTCATCATTTAATATTGATAACAGTTGCTTTCGCGAACTGTTTCCCCCTCAGGGTCATTCATCCAAACACTGGTTCTACTAAACGATTTAAAATTTGACTTTTCAAGTGTGTAGGGTAGAGTGGATTCGTTTGACTTTCTGATCAAAAATTTAACTTTGGTAATAGCTCTGGGCTTGTAGGCGCGCTGCAAACCGAAAAGATTTCTGCGAGTCAGGCGGTCAGCGCTTACCGATGGAAGGCGTTTCAGATTCAGACGCGTTTCAACTGCGTAATCGAATTCGTTAGAGAAGCAGTGACGATGGCCCAGGACTTAGATAACTGTTTTCGAGGTATGAAGAAGCCGCCGTTGTTCGGAGTGCCTTTTAGCGTCAAGGAAAACTTCCACGTACGTTGCGTTTCAAATGTTTTTCCAAAGTTTTGCTTATTTTCTTTCACGACTTTTTCTAGATGAAAGGGTATGACTGCACGAGTGGTCTCGGAAAAAATATTGGCTTACCGATGTCAGATGACTCTTCGCTTGTTGCACACCTACAGTTTTTGGGTGCAGTTCCGATCGTGCGCACCAATGTCCCACAGACGTTGTTAAGCTTCACTTGTTCGAATCCTATTTTTGGAGAAACATTGAATCCACACAACGCTACTCGGTATGAGAATTTTCATTCGTGTTAGACGTCATCTGTTAAGGTCAGAATGCAGCACAGCGTTGTCATCCTGCCTTCGCACAACGGTATGATGCACATCGTTAATTTATTATCATCTTCATTGTAAACCGTTTTCATTACACTGCTGAATGAAGGCCCGCAAAGACTTTGCCATTGTCCTCTATTTTCTGTGATTCTTATCTATCTCTGTCCAACGAACTTCTGCAGCTCATCCTACCATTGATCTGAAGGTCTACCAGCGGGCCGTTTACTCTCTCTTGGGACCCAGTATAATATATGTCTGGTTCAGCGATAGTCAGTTCTTTTCGCAACGTGTCCTGCTCTTTGCCAGTTCAACTTTTTTTACTTGGAAATGAGAGTGCAGACTTTTTGTACTGTTACTACAAATCAGCGCTACGTTGCGTATTCGGCAGTTAATGAATAGCTTTCAATCTTACGGTCCGTGTTTTGCATCCATAAGTTAGCACACGGTGATCGCAAACTCCGTTTTATGCACGAGGGCAGTTTCTCGGATGGAAACATTTTCAGGCGTTCAAGCATGTTCCAAGTCATTTTCACTTTTCTGTTGATTTCGCTGAGTCGGTTCTCCATTGCGGAGATGAGCTGTCACAGATAGACGTAGTTTTACGTCTTTTCAAGTCTAAGTCCATTCACCTCAACAGGTCGCGAGGTCACGTATTTGTTGAACGTGACCTGAGTCTCGTTCAGGTTCATTTTCATTTCTTTTTTTCTTTGCTTTGATGTTGGCGTCGTTCAGCTCCTGTGTTCTTCTTGGAGTTCTGTTGGCCTAGAGGTGATTGGAATATTGTCCGCATACCGCATGTGGCATAGGTTGTGGCTCTTTATCTTCAGCCCCTTTCCACTTTGTAAACGGAGTGTCTTTAAAACCTTTCCTGGGGCTGCTTTGAATAACTTCGGTGATATTGCATCACCCTGCGAAGGCCTTTTTCGATTCTTGACGTGCTGCTGCCTTCGTGAAGCTTCAGATTACCAGTTACATTCTTGCCAATGATGGCGATGAGCATTCGGTATTCGAGAAGATTTCACTGACTCAGTGAATTCAGTAATTTTGCAAATTTACCACCATAATCGTTTCTGTAATTGCCGTTAACGGTATTATCCGCACTCTCGCTGAAAACCATTTATCCTTCAGGTTCGGACTTAATAGCAGCAAACATTTTCGTCTGCATTCGCGGTCTTCGGCTTTGGTTTAATTATTTACCTTTCTGCCAACTTTGGCAAGCCTATTTGTGGATAAATAGCGTAAGCCGTCTTAAGACATTTTAATCCCATGAAATAATGTTTTGTTTTGAGTAATTCGTATGCCGTTTAGCTTCGAACTCTGTTGAGGTGCGTTAGCTTAGTGGTTCTTCTCAGAAGTCTTTTTGGTTAACTGTACCCGCCACTGTGTTTTTTGTCAGTACTAGTTAGTAATCATGAACATGGGTGAGTATAGCGATCAGAATCGACTTGAGGACGCAATGATTCTTCTTAGGACTTCTAAGACCTATTCTTCTCAAGATTTAGCTTTACCATTTTTGTATAATCATTCAAGACAGTCGTTACGATTATATGTAGCTAATGATTTGCGTGCTCCCGTTTTCGAATCTGACGTTTTCGTAATGGAAAATTGCCAGTCACCACCGTCAGGATCGTAATCATGCATCTGGCTGGTATGTCTTTTTTAGTTGGTTTTTTATTCAACTTTGAGTTTATTAGAAGTCTACATGTCCTGATCGTGGACACAAGTTTTGTTTCATGTTAGCACGTATGCCCCAATGATGAGAGTGTGTAACTGCTATTCTGATGCAGTAGAATTAGGCAGACTGTTTCAGGTCAGCCGGCGGTTCTTCTGGAGGCGAAGCTTGTCTTATAGCTTCTGGAGGCTGCCCATTCGGAATAGGCAGTGATTTGGCGGGCAGTCTTCGAATTCCCGCCCATTTCTCTGGCATTGCGTCTTTGAAACCTACATGTGGTAAGAAATATTCGCTTTATTTTGATTCTGCCTTTGCAAAATCTAGGGTGATATAGAATACCTTTATTGTGAAGCATATGCCTTCAGTTAATATAATGTAATCGAAATTAGTAACTTTCTGGTCCAAAATAGGTTTTATAATATCTGCAATACAGGCTGCTTATGGAACCTCAGATTGGTGAAATGTTTTTTTTAACACATCTAGCATTTTAAGTCGTTTTTCTTATGTTACTGGTAGAACTTATAACGAGTACCGGTACCTGAAATACTGCTAACAAATTGAGTGCTATAGCGAGTGAAACAATATGGGATGCTCCTCTGTATTGCATCTGTTAAAATACAGTGGGACCGTAATATGCTTATATTTTCCATATAAATCTAAGCGTAAGAGAGAGTATGGTAACGGCATCTGTCAAGCTTAAAGAAAATATTCATAGTAACAGTTAAATTATGCAAATTAGAAATTTGGAAATTTAAAGTTTACACAGTGCATTATTCAAGCCCGGCAGCTTAGCATGTATGACCAATGAACAACCACTTTGCCACTGCAACAACGCCAGCTTGAAGAAAATGATAGGCGAAAATTTGCATCGAATAACGTAATACTACAGTGGGAAATGAATGAACTAATGCTAAACTTCGATTCTTTTCTGTAGAATCTTTTTCCTGGATCTGAGGGAACAGCACTTTCTGACTAAGTTTCAGTACTGCGTTTTCAGTCTGCTTACAGTAAATATTTGTTAACTCATCTACATACATAGAGCGTCTGAAAGTCACTGGCACCGAACCTGGAATTCCAGGCACTTCCAGAATCGTCATTGGTTATGGATTCATGGCGAAAGACGTTTCTACATTAGTCACTCTGTTCGAGGCAGTCCTTCAACCGTCATATTTTGAGCGCGTGCCGAATACGGTGCCTCTTCCGTTCCACGCCTATCAGAGCGACAGTACTAAGCAGCTACGAATTGGATTTTGCCATAGCGACGGATGGTTCCCGGCAGTACCTGCCGTTCAAAGAGCAATTGCGGACGTCATTGTAGCATTGAATGAAGTGCCTAACATCCTTCTTGTTCCATTCAAAATTCCTGAACCGGCGAAAGCATTACAGCTGGCCTTGAAAGCCGTTATGGTCGATAATGGTAAGTGGTGGCTTCGGCGAATGTCCCAAGAGCCGGTGGACTCGTCACTGAAGGTAATCAGTTTTTTGATTTCATTTCAATTTCATGACCGGCATTTTCATGAATCTGTTTAGCCTTTCAAAATGGTGCTAGAACTTCCGATACAATTGCGTCGTTTTCTAGCTTGGGCAGTGGGTTTTTTCGATCCTCTGACAGTGGCTTCTCTTAAAGCGTATATGGCGAATGTTTCGGACGTTCGAGAAACATTTTCAGATATTGATGAGTATGTGACGTTGTTCACGAAGGCGTGGAAAGAAAACGACATGCAGGCATTGATCTGTCCACCATTTCCATTTCCGGCAGTGGCAGCGAAGTACACATCGTTTCTGTCGTCAGCTTGCTTTTCCACCGTACTCTTTAACATGCTGAATTTTCCTGCTGGAGTTGTCCCTGTCACCGAGGTAACGGAAAATGACGAAGCCGACATGCTGACCTATTCTTTGAAGTTTATTTCTCCTTACGTTGTGCAGAGTGCGATGAAAGGTAGCGTAGGATTGCCTGTTGGCGTGCAGGTAGTTACCCTGCCGTTTCAGGAAGAGCTTTGTCTGCACATAATGAAGACTATACAGGAGTGTGTGAAAATGTAATTCCCGTTTT